ACGCCTCCTTATCAGTGGAGACCTAGATCACAAATGTTTCTAGACTGTCCTTTCTTCAGTTGTGTCAGATCAGGCAACTGGCTCCCTTCCTGTCTCGCCTCGACCTAGCCACAGTTATCCATGCAACGGTCACCTTCAGGTTAGACTACTGTAACTTGCTCTATGAATGGCTACCCTTGAGACTTACCCGGAAACTACAACTGATCCAGAATGTGGCAGTGAGGGTTCTTACAGGAACTCCATCGACAGCACACATACAACCAGTGCTTCACCAGGAGCACTGGCTCCAGGTTGAATACTGAATCAGGTTCGAGGTTCTGGTATTAACCTTTAAGGCCCTAAACAGTCTGGGAGCAATGTATCTACAGGACTGCCTCTCCTGGTATATCCCCCAAAGAGCATTATACTCAGGTGAGAAGAACTGACTGGTAATTCCTGGCCCCCAAAGCATCTGGCTATCCTCAACTAGAGCTGCGGTGGCTCAAGTGGTTAAGATGCTGAACTGCAGGCTATAGAAGGTCAGTAGTTCAGCAGTTCGAGATCAGAGTGTGCCGCATGATGGAGTGAGCTCCCATCTCTAGTTCCAGCTCCTGGCAACCTAGCAGTTCGAAAGCAAGAAATTGCAAGTAGATAAATAGGTACCACTTCGGTGGGAAGTTAACAGCGTTCCGTGCGCCTTGGTGTTTAGTCATGCCGGCCACATGACCATGGAAACGTCTTCGGACAGCGCTGGCTCTTCGGCTTTGAAACTGAGATGAGCACCGCAACCCTAGAGTTGGACTCGACTGGCTTTCGAGCAAGGGAACCTTTACCTTTACCTTTATCCTCAACTAGGGCCAGGGATTTTTCGGCCTTGGCACCAGCCAGGTGGAATTCTCTGCTGAATGATATCCGTGCCCTGTGGGACTGAATGCCATTCCACAGAGCTTCCACAGGGCAGCAGTTGTACTGGATGGTCTTCCAACTTTCTAAAAAATTCTATGAAAGGTATTCCCTTTCCTATAATAGACACATGACAGAAGGCATTGTAATGGTCTTCACTAAATCTCTACATCCGTTATGCTGATAGGAATAGAACTTCAACTACGTGCAAGTAAGAAGTATGTCTTCCCTTTGGGGGAGAGGGCAAATGTTCAGGAATGAGGATTAATGCTGTCCTGCATTCCCTCTACTGGGAATCCTGTGACGCTTGCATTTTGAAACTTCCTTTGACCCTGATTACGATATGAAGCAGCAAGGATACAGAATAAGATTGAGGTTTGCTTTGAGTTCCAGTAAAGATGCAGGCTCTAGTGTACGTTATCTAGAAGACAGTGAAGGTCAATTTCAAGATATTTTCCATTGACTGTCAATTACATTCTCACTCTTTTTAATTTTGAAGTAAACCAATAATCCGTGTGACGGTCACCTCGAGGCTAGACTACTGCAATGCTCTCTACATGGGGCTGCCTTTGTCGCAGATCCGGAAGCTGCAGCTGGTGCAGAATGCTGCAGCCAGGCTGTTGATGGGCCTCTCTAGAAGGGACCACATTCGGCCTGTGCTGAAAGCGCTGCACTGGCTGCCGATAGCGTACCAGATCCACTTCAAAGTGCTGGTTCTTACCTATAAAGCCCTATATGGCCAGGGTGCAGCCTACCTGAGGGACTGCCTTTCCCCATATGTTCCCCCAAGAGCACTATGGTTGGGGGCACAAAACTTGTTGGTCACCCCAGGCCCCAAGGACACCAAACTAGCTGCGACCAGGGCCAGGGCTTTTTCGGTGGCGGCTCCTACCTGGTGGAATGAGCTCCCAGGGGAGATCCGTGCCCTGTGGGACCC